CAGGGGCAGGAGTAAAGGGTCCCTCCCAGGTCAACTTTAGTGCTGGGTCCCAGAGTCAAACTTCATAAGCAGCTGCCAAAGGGTCAGTCCATGGGACCAACGGGGATCCTCCTCTCTGTGCCATGGGAAAACTGTGGCCTCAATGCTGGACCCTTTTGGGGGTACACGCCCACCCATCTGTTGGTGGCCGGGCTGGACAGAGGGCACGGCAGGGAAGAGGAGGGAAAAATGTGTAGAATCCCGCACTCCTTTTTTTTCAAATGTTACTGCGTGGGTTTCTCTGTGTCAGTCTGGCCGTGGCCCTGCCTTGTGAATGCAGCCTGGGCGGGAGTGCTCTGCAGGCAGAGTCCCAGTCCCTGATTCATTTTGGAATCACAGTTTTTTCCTGTATACAGTGGGTTTTCCACCAGCGGGTGCAAGAAACTAATGCCCTGCGCCTTATACTAGATCCAGAGTTCTAGAGCAGCTCCATAAAAGCATCTTCTCTGGATTTTTGGAACCTCCCCCATGGAGCTTGTCCTACCTGACTCTGCTTGTCCCACCTCCAAAACCAAAAGTCTATCAACAAGCTTTTATATTCCCTTATTGAAAAATGTTTTAGGCAGAGCTGGGAGCCACAAATGCACTGCTGTTGTCACTTCTTCATCAGAAGTGAATCTTCTTCCTCGAAGGGCTGCTTTCAGGGGACCAAACAGGTGGTGTGCTGTGGAGTCGGTTCCAACTCATAGCAATCCTGTATAGGGTTTCTGAGGCTATAAATCTCTACTTGTACAGAAAGCCTCATCTTTCTTCGGAAGAACAGCTGGTAGTTTTGAACTGCTGACCTTGAGGTTAGCAGCCCAACTTTTAACTACTTCACTAACAGAGCTCCTTAAACGGGTGGTAGTCTGATGGAAAAAGATCAGGATTATAGGGAGGATGCTTTAACCCCTCAAAATGAAGTTTTTGTAGACTGTCAGCAGTGTGGGCAGAGGTGTGTGGATGTGTATTGTCATGCAAGATCACAATGCCCTTGGATAGCAGTCCTCTGGATTTAATCTGGTTAGACTTCAACTCTTCAGTGAACATGTAACTGTAACAAGCACGGTTATTTATTAATGTTGTTGTTAAGTGCTGTCGAGTCGGTTCCGACCCATAGCGACCCTGTACAGGGTTTCTGAGGGTGTAAATCCTTACGGGAGTAGAAAGCCTCATCTTTCTCCCACGGAACGGCTGGTAGTTTCGAACTGCTGACCTTAAGGTTCGCAGCTCGATTCATAACCATTACGCTACCAGAGCTCCTTTATAATAATAGTGATTATTAATAAATAATAATAATAATCACTATTATTATTTATTAATAGTGAGCACTTTTTCCTGATAGTGCTCCAATACTGGCCCTTGAGAGTCCCAGAAAACTTTAAGCATCAGTTTTCCAGCTGATAATTGACTTTTAAATTTTCTCTTGGTTGGTGATTAAGGGTGTTTCCATTTCAAACTCTGCCATTTTCTCTCAGGTTTATAGTGATGAATTCATGCCTTGTCACCAGTAATGATTTTTTTAAAGAAACTTTTACCTTCCTTTGAGTATTGGTCCAAATTTTGTTTGCTGACGCCCAAACTCTTCTGTGAGTTGTTTTGGTACCCATCTTGCACAATCTTGAAACTCAAGTCTGTCATGAATTATTTCATAGGCAAAGCCATGGCTTATTTACACATGATTTTCTACATAATCCAGTTTTACTCATCTCTTCAACAGAATAATTTCATGTGGATGCTCAGTGTTGTTGTTATCCATGGACGTGGATGAGTGTTTCAATATAACCGTAATTGAGATAATTTTGGGCTCACCCTCTTATATTACATGGGGATCCAGTGGCTCTGTAGGATGAGTACTGGACTGTGAGCTACAAGGTTGGTGGTTTGAGCCCACCAGTGACTCAGTAGGAGAAAGATGAGGCTTTCTATTCCCACAAAGATTTACAGTCTCAGAAACCCTATGCAGTCTTGCTGTGGGTTCGAACCGACTTGACTGCCCTAAACCACAACAAGATATATTACATGTTTGTTAATACAAATGAAGAAACTCAGTACTAATGTTTTGTTTTATGCTTTCTCCCCCCTACCCCCAACAAGTTGATTTGTACAGTCTGTATTGTCACTGGTTGTGTGTGAGTCATGTGAGCAATGAAATTTTGTCCATCATCATGCATTACTCACAGTGATGAACACAGTCTTTCCCTTTTTCCCTCAGGTTATTTCATTCCTTGCTGCAGTTTTGCATAAAAAGGGAACTCGTGAGGATATTGAAAATAACATGCCAGAGTTTTTACAAAGAAGTATGAAAAAGGAAACTCCTTCTTGTACAGCAAAAAAGGTAAATTAGAAATATTCATTAAGTTGACCATGCAAAAGCATTAAGATACTTTTAAACATCATATCTTAGTATACATTTTAGAACATGAAATTTACAGTAATTATTAAAATAAAGTATGGGAGGGCTTGGGTTTTGTTGTAAATTTTTAGTGTTGTTGCATTCAGTAATATAACCTTGACATTGTCTTTGTAGGCAAATCCATGGGGGTTCTCAGGTCTCAATTTTGACTTTTTTTTTATTGGAAAGGAGTTTATTTGTTGCTGTTTAGAAGTGCTTAGGTCTTTTCCTTTATCCTGAAATTCAAAAATTTCCTCAGACCCAACACTCACTGTAGAATTCTTCCAACTAAAGTATCTTTCTTTAGAAAAATACACTCAGCACTTTATGAAGAGGGAAGAAATACTAGAATCAACTTGTCTGAAGCAAATGGCTGGTATGGCTGTTCTTCCATTAATTGATGACTGCCATTGTTTCTGATGACTCAATCCTTCTTGTAGTTTCAGCTGCATAATTGTGGTTTTTTTTTTTTTTGTTGTTGTTGTTGTTTTTAGGTTAATTCTAGGAAAACACACTTTCATTTTTTGTTTTTCTTTTTTAAGTTTCTCTCTAGTAGTAAGAAGTTCTCATGTGGTTAAGAATTCAATTACTAACTGAAATGTTGGCAGTTCAAATCCACCTAGATCCACCTTGGGAGAAAGATCTACTTCTAGAAGGTCACAACCTTGAAAACCCTATGGAGTGCAGTTTTACTCTGCATGCATGGGACTATAGTCAGCATCAACTCTATGGCAGTTGGTTTTGGTTTTGTTTCTGAAAGTAAAGGATGAAGTTCCCAGATAAGAATGTTTTTTCTCATTGTCTTCCATATTGTTCTGGTCTGGCTGGACCCTTCCAGGCATTGTAGCATTTTCATAGATGTATGTTTATCATTGGTGTTTTATTTCATTGGAATTAATAAATACATGTGTTCAATAGTTACTCAAACTTGCACTGGAAATAAATTTTTAATGGGATTATATATGCTATTTCCCAGAAGTAAATTCCAACAAAAGTTACCATTTTATTTCAAGAAATTCTCAAAAGACAAATCTGTATTGGTCCATTTGAAACAATGTTCATTTAAAAAAGAAACCTATTGAAATAGAAAAGAAATACATTCCTTTCTCCTTGTATGCTAATACCAGAATTATATAGGAATTCTGAAAAATTAATGTTGGAACTCATTGGAAAAAAACCTTTAATGAATTGAATGTCTCAAATTTAGGAGTGGCTGTTTTGAGGTATGTTTGTGTGTGGTATGATACATCTCCTGGACGTTCAAAATTTTTCAAGTGTGAATACATTAGCTATGCATGAAATAGTGTAGTGTGCAAAGAATAAATTTCTAAAGTAAAAAACACAAACTATACTTTTCAAATATTGATTCTTGGGATGATATTTTTTAATTTTAGGGTGTTCAGTTTAGATTAGAATTCAGTCTTTATGAAAATGAGTAAGTTCTTTTCAAAATATTGCTTTCATGCATGACGAAACTAGAGATTCTTACTAAAATTCACAATTCATATAAAGGCAGAGGAGGATGGCTTTTCAAGCAATTGTAATACCTGCATCAGGAGGAGTTTTTATGGTGGTTGAACAGAAATACTTTTTAAGTACTTTAGATCTATTTGTTTCACATATGAATAGAGAGTACTGTGCTACAAATGTTGCTATTGTGAATATCCTTAGATGTGTATCTTGACAAGTTTTGCTTTGGAACTGAAATGGATCAGTATGTGATACTGGAATTGTGGATGTGTGCATATTACGTGTTGACAGCTGGAGTAAAATGGCCTCCAAGAGGCCATAGTTGGAAAACATGGTCTTGGTGATAGAAATTTTTCTGGAGATCACATGATAGAATTTTGCAAGGCCAATGACTTCTTCATTGCAAATACCTGTTTTTAAAAAAAGCTTAAAAGGCAACTTATACCCATGGACCTCAACAGATGGAATACATAGGAATCAAATTGACTGCGTCTTTGGAAATGATGTTGAATTTAATTTTGGCAGCCAAAGCAAGGCCAGGGGCAGCCTGTGGAACACACCATGAATTGTTCGTTTGCAAGTGTAGGTTGAAGCTGAAGAAAATGAATAAAAGTGTAAGAGAGCAAAAATATGACCTGGAATGTATCTCACCTAAATTTAGAGAGCACTGGAAGAACAGATTTAATACATTAGGCTCTAATGATTGAAGACCAGAAGAGTAGTGGGATGACCGCAAGACCTTCATCCATGAGGAAAACAAATGGTCACTAAAGAGATAGGAAAGAAAGAACATACTAAAATGGATGCCAGTAGAGACCCTGAAACTGGCTCTCCAGCACAGAGAAGTTAAATAGTATGGAAGAAATAAGGAAATAAAGAACTGAACCAAAATTTTGAAAGGGCAGGTCAAGAAGACAAAGTCAAATATTATAATAAAATGTTAAAAGACCTGGAGTTAGGAAACCAAAATGGATGAACATGCTCAATATTTCTCAAGCTGAAAGAAACTGAAGAAAAAATTGGAGCTTCAACCTGCAGTATTTAATGGGCAAAATATTGAATGATGCAGAAAGCATCAAAAGTAGATGAAATATAGAGGCACTGTATCAAAAAGAAGTGGTCAGTGCTCAGTCATTTCAAAAGGTAGCATATGATAAAGAATTGATGTTACTGAAGGAAGAAATCTAAGCTGCACTGAAAGCATTGGTGAAAAACAAGGCTCCAGGAATTGACAGAATACAAATTGAAATCTTTCAAAAAACTGATGCAGTACTGAAGGAACTCACTCATCTCTACCAAGAAATTTGGAATCCACTACCTGGTCAAATTTAAAGTGACACTTTCCACTTAAAATCCAATGGCCACCACTCGTCTGTCAGTTTATTGTACTATGGTGGCTTGTGAGTTGCTGTGATTCTGAAAGCTATGCCACCAGTATTTTAAATACTAGCAGGTTCACCCATGGTGGACAGGTTGCAGATGAGCTTGCAGACAAAGACAGACTAGGAAGAAAGAGTGACGAACTTCTTCTGAATATTTAGTCACTGAAAACCTTATGTATAGCAGAGAAACACTGTCAGATATAGTGCCAGAAAATGAGCCGCGCAGGTTGGAAGGCACTCAAAATGCAACTGGGGAAGAGCTGCCTCCTCAAAGTAGAGCTGACCGTGATGACGTGAATGGAGTAAAGCCTGTGGGAGAAAAGCCCATGGGACCTTCATTTGTTGATGGGGCACAAATCAAAATGAAGAGAAACAGCTGTAAATATCCATTGAAAATCATAACATGGAATGTATGAAGTATGAATCTGGGAAAATTGAAAATTGTCCAAAATGAAATGGAACAAATAAACAATGATATCTTAGGCATTGTTTTTGTTGTTGTTAAGTGCCATCGAGTCAGTTCCAACCCATAGCGACCCTGTATAGGGTTGCCAAGGAGCAGCTAGTGAGCTTGAACCACCGAAATGAACTAAAATTGACTGGTATTGGCCATTTTGAATCTGACAACCACAAGGTTTACTATGCTGGGAACGACAAATTGAAGTGGGATGGTGTTGCATTCATTGTCAAAAAGACCATATCCAGATCAGTCGTGAGGTACAACACTGTCTGTGATAGGATAATATCCATACGCCTACACGGAAGCTCAGTTAATACAACTATTATTCAAATTTATGCACCAACCACTAAAGCCAGTGAGGATGAAATAGAAGAATTCTACCAACTTCTTCAATCTGAAATCGATCAAACA